CGGTTGCGCAACAAGAGATTGGATATTTTAAAATTGAATGTCAAGAGTCCAACGGTTTCCGACGAGGACTTAATTCCCAAGAGACGGTTAAATAAGAAAGGGAAATGAATACAAATCTCCTCCAATTCTTCTCGGAGTGGAGATTTTAGGATTTCGTAACAAATCTCTCCACATCTTCAATTCAATTGAATTTCATTCCTTGGCTAATAAAACACATATTTCATTCCGATGGCTGCTTTTTACATAAAACTTGCAGTTTTGAGATGTGCATGACAATGATTGATCGTACATCGCATCGTACTAATCCATACGTAACTATATCCACGTTTCTATGATGAATGTGTACGTTGTGTAATATGCATAACTGCATGACATGGATTGAATCGTGGCAAATTCACTTTACAGAAGGTCATCATGGTTTAGATAACCTGTGACGAAGGTTGATTTTGTTGCACCAGTTTAATCAACGACGTCTGTGGTGCGAGCATTATCCAACGGTAGCGTGGCCGAGAGGTCTAAGGCGGTGGTTTAAGGCACCATTCTCTTCGGAGGCGAGGGTTCGAATCCCTCCGCTGCCAGATTTTTTGCATTTTTACACCCAAACTATTACAACTTTTATATTTTTTAATAATTAAGACCCTGACTGGTTCTCAGAGGAGGCAAATGCATTTAAGATCCATTACACATGCTCCATCTTTCTGGGATGTAATGTGCATGTAACGTATACATAAAGTATAGACACAGATCACTCTACACGAATTATATAAGGGTCATATAATGTGGTCTCTCTCTCATGATAAGATAATTCAGGTATTGGTAAATGTATATGCCAATATTATCAAACACATGCATTGGTAGTTTAGCAAGTGTGTAGGATAGAAATTAAGTGTGACGCATAAGAAACCACAAAATGTATGAAAATATGGAATTATTTTTTGTCGTCTTGCTTACAATTTTGTATACACACAAGGCAGGGAAGAAGAGAATGCAGGAGAAAATAAGCTATGCAAAATGTTACAAGTTTCTAGTTTCAGGAATTTTTTCATGATTCACACACATCATGAATTTCACAAACATGTGCACATGTTTGTGAAATTTCACATATGTGAAATCCCCGTTTCCTACTTTAAGCTTCACTAAAACCATTTGATATAAATTAAAGCCATTCATTTGTTTAAAACTGTAGTCCATATAAAACACAATCCTGAAATATGTACATCAGAGTTTTAGCATGTGTAATGTATCTTAAGTGCATTTGCCTCCCCAGAGAACCAGTCAGGGTCTTAATTATTAAAAAATATAAAAGTTGTGATAGTCTGGGTGTAAAAATGCAAAAAATCTGGCAGCGGAGGGATTCGAACCCTCGCCTCCGAAGAGAATGGTGCCTTAAACCACCGCCTTAGACCTCTCGGCCACGCTACCGTTGGATAATGCTCGCACCGCAGACGTCGTTGATTAAACTGGTGCTACAAAAATGGAACAACAAACATGACACAAGTTTTTTTTTGCATAAGCGCTGGTTATCTAAACCATGATGACCTTTCGGCAATTTCCTGCAACTCCACTTTGACAAACAAAGTAATGTCTGAACAACACTAAAAATTAACAAATTTGAGAATCCATCTTCTCTACTCTATGTACGCAACATTGATAACGTTGGGTATGTACAGTTGGCGGAATTATATTACTAAAATCTGGACATCATCTACTTCATATACGCACAAGACCAGATTCAGAAGCCCATTTTATTATTCAAATCCCATGAAACGATAGCAAGCATTCCAATTCACCCTTCAAGGATTTAATTATTCGTTTATGGACTCTAAATCCAGTCTGTCTGTATGCTTATTCCCATTGAAATGTAAGGCAACGTGGGCACGGAAATGGTCCTAATTCAGCATCAAATAAACAGAGACTGAGACGATTACTTTCTGGGAAATGGGAGCAGCAGAGTGCAAAGTTTCTGTTGGAGGAGTGGATTTGGGTTGATGATTGAGATATTTATTTCAACAAAACTGGAATTTCGAGATTCTGGCACACATTCCAACATCATCGACTCAGGTTCCTCTCCACGACGTAGTTCTCGCAGCAGAGTTGTGATGATGATACAGATCATCATCATCGCCCTGACAAGAAAATGAGACAAGTCTGAACTGAATAGGTCTGATTACGAAATGTGGCCCATATAATATCGCTCATAATTTCTGCCCGTGGTGGTGGTTATCATAAATTCCACAGTGTTGATGTTGTGCAGAACAACGCAATTAAGGTGAATTTTGGAATGCACGTTGTCATATTTCTTCTCCGCATATACGGATTAAATATGGACATGTCTGACTTGGCGAGAGGATGGGTGTGTAGTGCTGACTGGAGCAGGTGACAAGGTGAAAGCACTGATACACATTTATTTGCACACTGCCAAACATTTACAACAGTGAAAGTCGTACCCACCGCGGCGCGTGGTGTTTCTTCATTACGGACACTACTTTTTGTACCCTCCAGGCGCTGATTATAGTGAAAGTGTCGCCATGTGCCAATACCATGAATCGAATGACAATCGAAGACTGATGACTTTTTGGCATCATCCCCAGAACCACTTTCCGTCCTGGGAAGAAATTGGAATCAACTCTCATTTTCAGGAATGACTCGCAGGTTAAAGGACCATAAAGTTGCTCAAAATCACACATTTTGCCCTTTATGAGTTGTAGACACGATCAGAAATGTTAAGATGGGAATCGAAATCTGGACTCAGCCTGGCTAACAAACAACGCAATTTTTGTTGACGCGACTTTGGGTGTCATGTGTCAAATGGATGGAACATGTTTTGTGTCCAAATCCGAACTACAGCCACATTTACATTGGAAATTACCAAACAGTGTTTGGCCGATTTCACGAAAACTCTATATTTTTCGTACCAAAAGAGAGCTACATGGAAGAGGAGGAAATGTCCAGAGCAACATCCCGGTCCACGTTTTGTACATTCTCCGCGAGTAATATGAAGAATTAACTTAACTCGACCAAAAGGGATAGCCTTGCACATCGGATAGAAGATATGTACATGCGTCTATGGTGATGATAAGTATACGGAGCGTAGGATTCTACACGGAAAGACAGGATTCCACCCTGTAATACACGCGCTTTCTCCTAGTATTTTTGGAAAAAGAAAAAATTTATTCAATCCCCTGCATCCACAAATAATGGGATCAACCACGGCGGACACCAAGGGGCTCAAGACGGGCATAATTTATTTGTTGATGTCGTGGTTGATGGCTGCTCCTCGAGGTCATGATGTGAGAATTTGAGAATAATGTGTTACAGATGAGATGATTGTTATGCAGTGGAAGGCTCGCTCGGTTTTCGCTGCTTTTCTCCAAAACGAAGTAACATTTTGCTTTCTCTCGGTGGATTTGTTTGTAGTTTGTGCGGCGGGTGGTTGTATGCGGTCTGGTGTGGGCAGCGTTAGTGGTGTCTGAATTTCGAATCGGAATTTAGTTACCACACTACACATACAACAGCAGACTAGGAATTGGACATGTTGGGAGGAATTAGGATGACGACGACGATAGAGTGCCGACGAGCGGCGGCGGCTGCTGCTGCTGCTGCTGCCAGTGCTGTTGGCCAGTTTGTGGCAGAATTCCACAAATTTACTAGTCCAACCAAAGTCCAGTGTGGTCTGCACTCTCTCCAGAGTTTGCTTTATTCCTTTGAGCAAGCTCATTAGGTTTCGGATCAAAGTCGCTTGTATGTGGGAATCAGCAACAAATAAACTCCAGAGCATTATAAATACTTGACGATGGACACACACAGAGAGTTATCAAAGTGTCGATAAGTAAGACAGCTTAAGAGTTAAACTGCGAGCATGTCCAGAATCTACATTTACTGGTGCACCTCAACTTACTCTACATTTTGTTGATGATGGTCAACGGTTCCTGGTGTGGTTTCAGGTTTCATTCCCGTTTCAGGCCCTTTTATTTCTGGGTTATGAGATCGTGCAAGTAGTATTGAGAATTGTGTGGTTCATGCTGTTATTCTATGTAAATGCTGACGTGCACATATTTCTGCATTTGCGAATCTTCAAGGGCATTTTGATAAATAATTTATAACTGGACCCGACAACATTTCCGAAAAAAATTCACATTTTTTATAAGAACGAGGAAACCCTACACCGATTGATTGTATTACAGGCAAGTTATTGGATTTCCTCTGAATTGGAAGACGGGTTGGCTGGCGGAATATATCGAATGTATTTCTTCCCAGTTGCATTAAATGTTAAATGTCGGCAGTAAAAACTACAATCCAATCAACTCACGAGGGAAGCTACGTTTAAAGTAAATCTTGGAAACGTGAAAAGTTCCGACTTCCACCTCCCCTTCGCACCATTACATTTGAAATTTTGGTGTTTTATGCCCATCACGGGATGTTTCCTATTCCCACACCTATTTCTCCACCCCAACTGCACTCCCATCCATGCACACTCCACAAAAAAATCTCATTGTTTCCTGGGTCATGTTGTAAAAGAAAAATTACATTTTTGACTCCTGTTCAGAAAGCAAAGTGCAGACGATTGGAATGTGTAAACTCACTTTTACTCTCCGCTGATAACCCTTCACTTCATTTTCTTCCTTGATAATCCTGCCCCAAGACAGGATTTGAGCAATTGAGGCTGAAAAATTAATGTTGGGGAAGGAATGAGGGCGTCCATGTAACCAGGCGAGAAGAAGAGGAAGTGGTGCTGCATGATGATTTACTTTGTGATTAATCCTGTCGCTCTCCATGATTTATTCGCTGGGTGAAAGTTCAACAGTCCACGCCTCGAAATTTTTACATGCTTCAACAAAGTTGGTGAAAAAACTGGTTTGAATAATTCTCTGGCAGGTTTTCAGTCATTAAATTTGGTGAAAGTACATAAAAGTAAAAAAGGTTTTTGTAAACCGTTAAACGACATTTGCAATTTGTCCTTATTTACGTGATGAAATGAAATATGTAAAAATTTCTTTAAATTCCACATCGATTTTTAATGAATAGACTTTATTATAGTTTAGCATACACGATTGTTTTGTTTCAGTTTGGAATACAGGTTAAAAACTTACATATTGTATCGGATAATGTTCTACTCTACTCGACGCGACGGTAAAATTAAATCCAGGACAGCGAGATCAGAATTGAGTACGTCTCTACTAAACTACAAACTTATATGAATTTATTTAAGCATATTATAAAACCTATAACAAAGATATCAACATTTATCCCGTCCTCGTCCCTCCGTTCCGCAAAGATCAGAAATAATAACGAGAAACAAGTCACCAACTGCATGCTGCACAAACATGTATAATTTTGGGCCATTCGTAAATACAAGTATGAGTAGTACATTCACAAATTAGGTGCAACACTGTATAAGAGTTATAATCATCAATATTATGAACGACACGAATTTCGGATTTTGATTAATAGTCGGCTATAATGGGAGCAGTTTAGTTAACTCATCCATAAACTATGTACATACATCGTTAGAGAAAATAAGTCTCGCTTTGTCATCGCCACCAGTCATTGTGTGTGACACAGTAGACGCGTTCAATTTCATTAGTTTGATGGGAATTTGGGTCGACGGGAGTCAGCGGTGTGCTATTACCTACAACAAATAAATTCGTGGCGTTCTATTTATCTGTCATGTACATTCATATAGGTTCGTCCACATCAACTAAATATCTATACACGGCGTGGTACACACACATACATACTCGCTTTACATACTTTTCTTTCACCTAATATTAATACAGTTCATACCCTCGTTTGATTCATGCACACGACGTCTAGCCTTATCGTATCACACTGGTCGGAAATCGAAAATGCTGTGCAATAATGAAATGCCAATTGGAACCCAGGATTTACCTATGTAGCTATTGATTTAATTAGACGAAAAATCTCTAATTTATTTTGAAGCTAGTGTATTTAGTAAGTTTCAACTTTCTCAAAATCAAAATAAACCTCTACATGTTTGCTCAGATATTTAAATGTAGGTCAAAAAGACTTGATTTTAAATTGTGTATGTAGTTAGTATTTAACTCTTTTACTGAGGTAGATATTTATTTCAAAATAGATTGTCTGGCCATTCTTGTCATCAGCATTTTCGATTTCTGACCCGTGTCCATCCATCCAGACATACTCACTCACTCACACACGACCATTACATTGTGCATACATATGTAGCATCTCACGCGATTACGATTCGAAACACGGATCACCACTTTAGTTTTTACGCTAAAATTACAGGATACAAACAATGTACGTAACTAACATATTCCCTTTTGCAGTGTTTTTCAGATTTCGTATGTATTTTATACAGACTAAGAATTACAAGTATTATCTACACATAGAGCTACACGCTTAATTAGATTTGACTCGCCAATGACACCGTGTCGAGTTCAGAGACAATTAATTACTTCGTGTCCTCCTGGAGCCCATGAATGAGCATGATTTTAATTAATGAATATTTAGTCCTCCTTCTTTTTACTCTGGATATCAAAAGCACTGTACACACAATATTTACAAGAAAATTTTGATAGACTTTTATTAACGCAATAATAAAACAACTTCTTTTTTAACCTCCGAACTGGGTTTCATGCATATGAAACTTTCCTATAAGGTAGCACCACAGTGTATTTACTACATATACCAGAGAACGACATGTATGTATGCATACCTTATAATTTCAGAAATACAGAGCGTTCTGTTTGCTGCTCCAATTAAATTAAACCCTCACAGATTGTCATCTCCAATTTAAATTGAAGTTAGCCAAGTTGTACTGCTTTGTTGAACAGAGGCTGACTGAGAATCGTTTCATTTTCTCCTTGTAAAACCCATCGCTTAGTATGAGACGTCACTCTGATGCGAAGAGACGAGAGAACATCGTGCCGAACTTGTGTGGGGCTGGATTGGCGACCATTTTACAAGGATGCAATTGCTGCTGTCGTAAGATTATCCCAAAGATAAGTGCCAATTTACTGCAGTGGTTTTAGAGAAATTTACTACAAGCAAACACTGCATTCTTCTTCCACTGCACTGCACTGATTCCCAGCAAGTGTTCGAGTAGTGAAAGTGGATGTTGATGTAGTGAGGTAAAATGTTTGCTCAGTTTATCCTGCTTACTTACTTGCCTTGGTGTTCTCCTTTTGGTTTGGTTGGAGCTGTTGGTGGTCGTTAGTATGCAGGGATGGTGGCAACAGGCAGGGCGGAGAAGAAGAAACCGACAGTTCTGCCGGCTCCTATTTATACCAACTTTCACCACCACGTCGTTTCCTAATCGTATGCACGGGGCGTTTCTCCTCCTCGACACTCCATTCTTCTCTCCGAATTACAATGGACGCTTCGTTTGATTCCAATCTTTGCCCAAGAAATTAGACAGCCTATGACTACGCCAACCCGAGGAGCACATCTTATCTGGGATTTGTATGCACCACTGTTCTTCAAAGTGCTCAAGTTATTAGATCACGTTGTTAACACTGTGGTGGAAGATGAGTCTTAATTCGGGCCGAGTGGAGTTGCTCTGCTCTCCGAGACGACAATAAGGACAACAATGGTCAACATTTTAGTTGATTCAAATAATTGAAATCTTACAGATCCTAATCTTAAATCGGGGAAAACGTGCTACCCAAAACATTCTCAAGTTCACCCAGTCTTCCTTCACCGTCTTCTTCTTCTACAAGATCACACCACGACATTTATTATCTTATAAACACATAGTACTCACTTATACGAAACTGCACGTTCACCTTCTCCTCAACGTCGTCACGCTATTACACAGAGGAAATTATTTCATAGTTTATGTACATGTACTTGGGAGTAATACAGGATTTAGTTTCTGTGCAGAGAACGACACGAGAGAAAATAGGGGAGCATGAGAATTGAGAATTATTCTGACATTGGGAAACTCCTCATCACTTTTGGTATAGCATTTCCTCGAGTGGTTGTCGGTGAACGGGTTCCTCCGTCTCTCCCGCAGTCACAAGTAGTAAGTAAGTATGGTTTGGGTATAAAACACATCGTCCACGGATAAAAATTAGTTAGTACCATTTTCCTCTAGCCTATGGAGTAGTAATTTGTGAACTGGATTCTATCTGGATCTGCTGGAAGAACTCGAGAAGGAGGATGAGATTGAGTAGGTGTTGAAGACGAAGCCTAAATTTATGAGAAGAGCCGCCAAGACTATGCTCTGGACAGCAGCAGCTCCCGTGCAGATGGACGATGACGTTGAAGAAGATGCGTCTGAAACTTGGTTGGGCAGACCGCTTGCAACAGCTGAAAAGAAAATAGAATTGGACACATTCAAGTATCGGACAAGCACATTCTGCAGACAGTTATTATATCATCCACTACTTTCTTTCTACGTGGAACTACGCGGCAGGGCTGCTCAAAGAACTGGATGGTTTCTCCCAAGAAATTATGACAGTCCACGAAAGGTTTTGTGGTTGGTTTGTAGAATTTGAGACATAAACATGAACATTCGCAACTTTCTCAGACTCTCTCGTTTTCAACCTGTGAAGCAAACTCTGTCTGCTCATCTCAGTTGTGGGTCGTCGTTTTTTTTGTACCACAACTTCCACCCGAAATGTGTTTACTTTTCCAGTGTAATTTCCAGTATGAAGTATTGATCGTCAATCGCTAAATGCCCTGTCTGTCCGACCTGTTTTGCTCCTGTGGTTCAACTTTGAGCCATTCTTGACGTATAAACATCAGCACATTGTGAGAAAGGAAAAGAAAGTTCCCTTTGACATGCGAAAACATCGTAAAATATGAAACAAGAAATCGTCAGGTGGTGTTCCACAATAAATACGAAATGCGAAATAGGGAGAAACAGTTCAACATAACAAGTACTGAGAATGAGCGGCTAAATATTGAACGGCTGATGGGCTTCTATATCTTCGGTTCTATTTTCAATTTCACCTTGAAATTTTGAAGATTGGTAGACAGCTTAGGCGACATTATTGGTTTTAAATTTCAATTAAATAGTGTCAACAACGCCCGAGATATTTGTGTCAGAACAAAAGTCGCTAAAATAAGTTTTCCAAAACTGCACAATTTTTTATGCTTTCTTTTTCTTATATTTTTAAAACTCTGAAAAAATTAATTTGATGTGGGTGGTATAAATACTTTGCCTGGCTTTCATCCTCAAAATTTGGAACCGAAATTCCAACCCGTTTCGGAGATATTCAAGATTACAAACGTTCATTATTTAGCAAATCAATCTCACAAGGGACACTCACGACCTGTCGTTTGAGTCCAGAGTACCCACTATGTTTTTTAGAATCTACTAGGACCCCAGATGAAGGATCCATTCATATTTCCGTGTAAAATTCATATTTGGCGCCATGGCGTGGCGCCAAACTTAAAAATTTGCATTTTCGACCAACTTCAAACCCCCATAACTTTTGCATTTTATGTCGGATTTTCAAAATTTTATGCTTAAAATGATCACAAAAGTCGAAATTTTTGACAAAAAAATAAAAATAAAAAAGTTTCTAATTTTTGCAATATTTTTAGGATTTTTTCGACGAACCCCCATTTCGAAGAAAATTACGAAATTTTGCGAAAAGTTAAAAGCGATAATTTTAGAAAAAATTTCATGGAATAAGAAAGTTGAACTCTTTGTCATGATTTTTGCCAAAAATTTTGAAAATCCGTCCAGGATTTCAAAAGTTATGGCGGTTTCAAAAATAAAAACATTCAATTTTGGCGAATTTGGCGCCACGCCACGTCGCCAAATATGAGTTTTACACGGAAATATGAATGAATCCTTCATCTGGGGTCCTAGTAGATTCTAAAAAACATAGTGGGTACCCTGGACTCAAACGACAGGTCGTGAGTGTCCCTTGTCAGTACAAAAATACACCGTTGTGTGAAAACAAAAACGCCTTTCTTGATCTCGTCAAAATGCGACCCTTTCTTTTTCAGGGCTAAAATCAGAATGCATACAAAGCAGGTTTCGACACAGCTAATAAAATCTATATTTTGATTCAGATGCAAAAACTTTTAAATTGCGACAACCTGACCGAACGAGGGCCTATGCAAACTCGTATTTGGGATTCATATGAATCTATGGAGATTTGCAGACATTGCCATTTGCAACCCAGGCTGTTGGAGGATGGGGAAAGCTCAAGAAAGGGAGTGAACGAGAGCTGATTGTTGAGCTGGTGGGAGGGAAACGAGGGATGGCGAGAATGGAAAATGGGAAAACTTTGGTGGCGAAAGGACTGATGAATGTAAATAAATTTGATGGGATTTTCAGGAAGAGTGGACATGAACCTATGTACGTACGTAGAGTATAGCATAGCAGTGAATTGGGTGCAAAGACCTATCCAGTCGTGTCGCTGCTGGGTGTGCTACATAAACAACTATTACTTGACGACCCAAGGAGGTCGGTTCCCTGGCTGCCTGCTAAATGGAGAACGACTGCTATGCTTCACGTCCCCATTAAACCCTTGTTTGTTGATGTTGAATCAGATTCGATTCTGGATTAGGTTCTGACCAAATGTCCAAGAGACATAGCCGACTTGGGGAGCAGCAAAGACGAAGATGAAGAGAAGTGGGTGAATGGAACGTGTTTAGCCAAATCTCGTTATTTTATGCAACGTTACCCACTTTCTCCCTCCTCGCTCTCTCTCTTTTCCAGTAGTGAAACTCGGAAATTGAGTAAACTAATCCAACAAATCTAAATCTAGTGAGCTCAAAACTTTCACTCTTAAGTAGATGACGACAGAGTTGTTGTCCGCCGAGTTGATTGTGCAACTTTGGGAAGGAGAAAGCATGCAAGAAGTGGGAACGTATTTAGTACTGACCTGGATTGTGCAGTCCTGCTTCCCTGTTGTTCCCTGACGCGTCTTTCGACCCCGCTTTGACAGAGGCGGACCTTGGCTTCTCCTCGTCAATTTGCACCTCAGCAGACCTACGGTTGACGGAGAAAACACTCCCGACGCACTTTAACTTTAGGCGTCCTCCGCGAAAGCTGTTGGCGTCTGTGTCCATCTCCACCGTGGATTTTACCCAGTTTCCCCCCTGACCGTCAATGAATAAGGGTGCGTCGTGGATGAAGTGAGGCTTTACCTGAAAGAACAAAATTGGGTTATTTATACTCATTCGTGTCCTGGGTGTTATTTAGATTCCTTCCATTTGGGACTGAAATTTCGGAAGTTGGATCCAAATAAACTTTCACCTTTTGTGTCACCTTTTTGATTAAGAAATAAGGGAAAGAGATGCCAGAAATGAGAAAAGAAAGTGCAAAAGAACGTAGCAGAAAGGAAAGACAGGCAAAAAAGAACAAGTTATTATGCAGCTTGGACTTTTTCAAGGGAAAAATTAGTCAAAATCTGTACAATTTTCCGCAGTATATGAACATATAGGAGTATTATGCATGCATGTATAAGATTTCTGGTTGACTTTAACTTGTGGGTGCTTGGCATGCATCCGGTAAATCCAATTTTCCTTCCCCAACTTGTGATTACCTTGGGAAGCAAGGAGATTTTGCGAGCAAGTGAAAGTTAAAGATTATAGAATTTCAAGGAGTTGAGCTCATTTTCTCGAGCCAAAGAGTATTTTGAAACCCGCTAAGTAAATACAAAGTCTCAAGTCCACTTCAAGAAGTGAGATCCTCTCCGTCGAGATTTGGGGAGAATACGGTTTCAGGCGTTTTCAGTTTCGCCACATGTTTGGGGTTTGCAAAATCGTGGAAAGATTCATAGCTCGTTGCGAATTATGAAATGGATAACAGAGTCGCACCACGTTCCAAGTTATTTATCGGAACAGGGTTCGCGTTCGACGGTGACGGCACAAATGGTTAGAATTACTCGCATGAAATCTGTGAAGGTCCCAAGAAGACTAAAGAGAATGCGCCTCTTGAGAGATCTCATGTTTTCTCCCTTGTTTCGCTCTCTCTTTCTTAAACTTTGCCATAAAGCTCAAGAGTCAGAGTCGAGTTTAAATCTCTGCAACAACTTTAACGGCTAAGAGAAACATGCTCAAATGTAAGAAATCTTGTGACTTCGTCCACCTGGTGATTTCAATTTGGTTCATCTAAAACAAATTTGTGTAATAACCCGCAGAAAACGGCCTTCCTAATTCCATGAACATTTTTGACTGCTCAACTTATACGTTCTTATTCGTATTCATGTACGTGTATATAAGTTACGAATCCTGGACGCAATTACAGGCAACGGAATCTACTTACTGCGTATGTCAGACTATTTATAGCTCAAATAAAATACGATACCATTACGACAGTGTTATTAAAGCTTCCAAATATTTTGGTTGCACAACATCCCGTCTCTCAATGCTGAGCTTCATCACTAAAAAAATGCAATTTACTTGTTTTTCTGATGTCGCAAAAACAAAAAAAAAACTTATCTAGACTAAACAGTCCAACGCAATATGCAATTTCATGAATATTTCACAAAGTCTGCGACGTTATTGTAGCGTTGGGCTACGGAATTGTTATTTTTTAGTGCAAACAAGGAATGTGAAAACACAACACTCCAAGTTCAGGCTGTATTTCAGCATTTTTCATTCGGAAAGGCGCATCCAATAATGCCAGTGAAAGTAGGAATGTGTGAAAGCAAATAAAAATATTCAACCCTCCAACGAAGGTTACCCATCAGTTCATTTCCTTTCCCGAACAACGCACAAAGTTGCATCCACCGTGTGTACACAGTCACTGGCTTTCGAACCGAGTGAAGGGTTGGAGGACGAGGAGAAGAAATTGTTTAAATCTAAATCAGATAGAACGTATTGCGTACATATTGTTTCTTGGTTTCATATTTTTTTATATTCTCGCCAGACCAGTATCGTCAATCATGGGAACAAGTGGTGGTTGGTTCCGTTTGGATTTTTGAGCGTGCATGGGGAGAAGAAATTGGAAACCGGTGAAGTGCGAGCGCCTGGTTGCCACCAACAGCGTACGTCTTCGGAAGGGGGAAGGAAAACGTAAGCTGTACACGGTTGTACTTGGTATGTGGATTGCGGCGGCGGGGATGAGAGCCCTGGGGATACATTTGAAGACACATGCTGTATTTTGAAAGGCTCATAAATCTGATTTTCGGATGAGGCCGCTAACTAAAGAAGATTCAAAACCGATCAGACGTAGAACAAGTCCTACGAGCAGCAGCACTGTGTGTACGGCTACATGTGGATTTAGATTCGAGGGAGATCACGTCAAAAGTAGCACACACGAATGGTGAACCCTTCTCATTCGTAGACATGGAAGACTTTATAGGCTAAAAAATACAGCTTACATACTTTCCCTCGAGAATTTAAGACTTGTGGCACAAAGAAAATACTTGGTTTTCTAAACTGGTGCACATATTTTTATCCATGGCACGTATATAATTATGGCCACTAGTTAAAATTGTGGATGGCAAATATTCAATCAAGTTTGCTTTCGCTTTTGACAGTGGAAGGGCTTGATACGTATGTCAATAAAGTAAATACATGTAAATACACCGTACAACTAAAGACTTGCGATTATGAATGGAAATTTAACCTTCGTTGCTTACATAAAGTTGCGTACCAAGATTCTACTCGCTCCAAAAACGCATTTTATAGGGAATGCTAAAAATTTGCCAATGAAATTCTAGCCTTCGTCTGATAATCTTTCTAAAAACCTGGGGGGCACGGGTCCCATGATTATGATCTGAATTGTGCAACTTTCCCCCTTGAGGATCGCCATCAAACTTGAAAAACTATATATGTACACAGTTATACAATGACGGCCATTTTACGCAAGAAAGGCTTACGTATGTTAAATATTTATTGCACTCGCATAACAATGCCTTATGAAATATAGCAAGTGCAAAGGTCGGTGTTGGTAGTTGCTCAAGACTGGCCTAATTTTTAGCCATAACTCGACTCCACGTCCACAAGTGTTTTGGTCTACATGATGAAAATCTCTGGGTCTGACGCAGAGTGATTCGGACGATACATTTCCGCCTCTAATTTTATTTAAGCTGGAGAAAGATGGAGTCACCGAGCGGACCAGGACTAATCTTGAGAGAGAGAGTCAAGTCAGTCATCTCCAAGATTTAGATGACTCCTCACAACCCCGGAGGAGGAGATGTTGCGGATTGGAAGGACGGGTGATGGGCTGGCAGTGATATATGCATTATTAGATTGGGCCCTGACTGCAGTTTTATCTCGGAGGCAGCAAGGTAGAAGAAGTAGAAGACAGAATAAATCCACAGACTTAAGACGGGCGAAATTGGGGAAAGGCTGATGAGTAATTGGCTCTGAGGGAGTCTAAACCCCGGCTGCTTTCTCCATCTGTCTCTCCAAATCCAACGCCAACTTCCGTCTCCTTAATACGCCACCAACTCAAAACCAAACTGATGGAGCTGCCCCACTTTCTTCTTGGGGGACTTTTACTCGCAACTAATGCCTCCTTCTCCCCACCACCACCGCAGCTTTGTCTCCCGCTCGAGATTGTTGTTCGGCCTATCCATGGGTACCTACATATGGGGCAGCAGCATCAGTGCGAAAAGACCAAAGCCTGGTGGTCAGGTTCATATAAACCCTCTCAATTTTGTGTACTCTAATAATTTGCACTGCCGCTTGTCCTCCTTTGTTAAAGTCAACATATTTGGGACACAACTCTCTCCACCAGCAGACTTTTCGAGGACTTTGGCCAATGTACGAGCTAAATTGTGAAACCGAAAATTATGGAATGGACACAAAGCAAATGATGCCACAACTTTGCGAGAGTTGCATATTTGGTCCCACCACCAAAAAGTCGAGTCAACACATACGTCCTCTTCTTATTTGGGAGTAGGAAGGTCCGGAGAGAGAAAGTGGGGAGAGATGCTCCAAATAAAAGACGTATGGTGCTCAGTTAAGTGGTACAAGTGAAGTTGAGCCAACACAATGTCCAACAACTATCACTAACTATGATCTAAGATACAAAGAACGAGAGTTGGACAATGTCCTGCTTGCTCGGGAGAAAGTGGTTCAAACTTTTCGAACATCTCTCTGCACTCAAGGAGGACTCAATATAAGGGCGACTTAAGAAGATGTTGGTGCGGTCTCTGAGTTCATGCAGGAGGAGGATTCCGAGTGTGCTGGCTAAGTAAAAAGTTTCTTTGCGACGACAAAAGTTGGGAAAGTTGGAGAAGAGAGCGAGCGGTAATAGCGGATCGGTAGCTCCTTGTGGTTACCTGCACGTTATTGATGAACCATGAAATATTCGCAGCTGGGCGAGTCGGTCCAAAACTGCAATTAGCTCGAATCCTCTCACCAACCTATTAATCAACAACATTCATCAGCATATAATTCTTTTCAGGCGTTGTTAATACAAGTTTAAGAATCGAATTATTTACTTCGTAGCGATTCTTGCCCGGCTCGATAAGTGGAGGATTTTCTGTAAACTCTAAAAGGAACAGAAAAAAGTATGGTGTAATCAGTCACTTACTTCTTAACTTGGTTACTTTGTCCTTTCTCATAGGTAATTGGCAGAAATAAAATCACAAAAGTCACGACCACCAACACCACCACCTACGTTGTCATCATTAATTCCAATCCATTTCAAGTACAAACTCCTTTTTACCCAAAAATGCACATAAAATAGCGTCGTAGTGAACTTAATCATTCTGTGCATGCTTACCCATATTACTCACGATAATAATGCTCAAACAATGAGTCCACTTTCACTACGTGTGCTTAAATATATGGACACACACGCTACGATTGTCCGTGAATTTTTATATAGAATGATCACCTATTGCAGATTAAATGCATAGCACATATTCCTCGTGTACCGGAAAGGAGCGATATTGTGCCAACAATCTAAGGGTGAGTAGGATCAAAGATGTAAATTGAATTACATGGACTTTCTCCGGGGTGAATGAGGCCTTAGATTTAACTTCATGACACATTAAATTTCACTAACGCAGCCGAGGGAAGGTTGGACATGGCATTAGGAGCACGGGCGAGAGGTGGTCCGTGTACGCGGTATTGACGAGCAGAGAGAGAGAAAGAGAAAGTGTGCCCACCAGGCTCACCGTAAACTAGAGCAGATCCTGAAATCTGTAATGTAAGTAACATGCTAACACAAGGCAGCATAAGTTAAAGCACTTTGCACTATGCGGAAACTGCAAATTGGTTTAGTATTGGATTTCCGCTCGCTGCTTTTATCTCTTGGCCCAAGGCTTCCAAAAGTCAGTGGCTCTCCTCTCTTGTTGAATACGCGGTCTCGTTCGCTGCCCTTCACCACCAACCACACATAACAAATCCTCACATATGAAGTGCTTCTCGGCATAAGCCTCCATACGTAGGAAACTCACTCCACGTACGTACCTATGTGCTTGGACATTGGGAAGGAAACCGCACGTGGAAAAAACAGCAGCGGCAGTTCTGATAATGGAATGGTTATGCCTCGAAAATTCATAACTTGCTTCAAGACTTTTTAAACATTTGGTTTTTTTGAACCCTGAATGTAAGTACCGCACACGGAACATGCCTGAGGTAGTTTTCGACCAACGACAACAGCTGCGAAAAACGTGTATGCATATGACTAGCACATATGTAGCTGAGTATAATACGTGTGAGTAGTTGGTGGTGAAAGCAGGGATAGAACGGAGTGCGTGGGGGCAGAGAGAGAGGAATCGCAATTTAATACAATATCCTGCATGGGAGGAGCGGAGTGGATGTGGTAAACAGGAGAAGATTTCATATTTCTCAGTGCTCAATGCCCCATTAACTGGCTTCATCCCTCCCTAATGTCATGTAATGTAGGTTGCTGAGGTGAACTGTACCGTGTCGTCGTGTAGTCACAAGAAGGGCTCCATGGAATTGATGCCAAAACCATCATCGTGCACACACACATACCGTCGGCGTGGAGAGAGGAAGGAATGGCACATTTTATCAGGACGAGCAGCAGCAGCAACAGACAGACTCCCACATATTCCCCGTTTCCGTCTCCGTCTTCTGATGAGTATTTCCATTCTTTCCATCCTTGTGAAACTTTTTATTTTATAAACTTCAATAAAATCTCGAAAGTCACCGACCGACACCGCCATGAAACGTTTTAGTGTCGCCTACTTTGAATATTCCGAGGTTTTTCTAGAGACCCACTCGAGCTGGAGGAGGCGAGTCGGAAATATGAGGACGGTTTATGCATCCAGCTTAATAAAAGTAGTTTTGGGTTTTAAAGGCTTTATTGAATCGCCAACTTTGCATGTGAGCTCAGAAGGAGGATGTAAATATTATTGCCCTCATCCAGTTATGGCACAAATGTTGGGTGGTGGTTTCCTTTCAAACCGGCCTTCATAATCCTGCACGGCTTACGTATTAAATTAAACCGCAGCTCTTTCCTACGTACATGGAGATGGTCGTTACGCCATGAATCCTTCTGGGAGGCGGGTGACGACACTGCATATTTACTCCGTCTACATACTGATACATACATGTACATATGTGCACCACGTTAGGTCACAATAATTCTGGTTAAGGATTCATTTGTAAACATATAGCATTGCGCAGGTTGTGGAGTTGTGGGTATCGTAAAAATGTGCCATAATTACAAAACTCTGCTGCAGACTGGGCGTGTTGTTGTTGTTGCACAAATCGCGGTAAATATTTATGCACATAATGTAATTGGTTGTATTTCTGGTTGCAAAATATTTAGCTGATTTGAGGACGTCGACACACATGCACATCTCGAAAGACGCCTGTGCATTAAAAAGATGGAAATTCAGCCGGAATTCTAAGCCATTCGTATGAATGAGCAGTCTCCTGCGCCCTCTTATTCAACTTTCTATACGAGAGTTGAAATGTCCCCATTCTTCCCGTTATTGCACAAATATTCCTCTTGCTCAACTCAGTCACTTGAAAGGTCCCTCTTATTCCGGTCTTCACAAGGCATCTTCATCCCATCATCATTCCCCACGTTACACCATAAGCGCATATCATCGACAGTTTGCTTTATCTAATGGGCACCCTCATTGTTGTGATATGGTGGATCAGAGGGGGATTCAACTTTCAGCAACTCGAACCATCCTCGCTGTTATCACAACATAAACTTCTCCTCCTCGTCCGACTACAATGGGGCGCAGACAGGGAGTGAAAGTGCCATTCAACCACAGCTCTCTTCTGCACTGGCGACTTCCATTCCATCCCCTCCGCCAATTCAATTACCAAACTTGCACTGCACAAGGAGGTCGTATAACTGAGCGTGTGTGTGTGGGTGCAACTACTACTCTGCTTAATTCTCCTCTGAAATGAAACCCCATCTTCGCCTCTCTTTTCCAGCTGAGGGTCATCTCCGCGATAAGGTGTGTGGAGAAACACATGCATCGCTGCTTGCATCCAATGGTGCCTACGTTGCGGTGATGATGATCATTCCGAGGGAAAGTCAGAGTGGAAAGTTGTTTGCCACCGAGAAGGAGAGATCTCGGGATAAAACTGCTCAAATACGTGAAACGTACGTGGAATGGGTGGATGGATAATGCCAATGTCAACTCAATTTCAAGTGGATTGAAAGTTTCTAGATTCTGGATCAATTCTGGGTTTACCCGACTGAATGGATGGGAGGAAAGCTCAGCAATTTATATTTATCCGACCCGTGGGTGGCACGCTCTAGCCCCGTTCGTGGTGTTGGTGGTCGTAATAAGGAATTGTTACATTTTCACTTCTCAGCATAATTGACTTTGCCCTGTTTTACTGGACTCACCTACGACAGTCATTTGAGCTTGAACTACATCAGTGTCGAAACCGGGAGCATCTGCCGACACTGAAAAAATTAAAAGGCAGGAATGAATAGATACTTTCATTTGATGGAAAAATAAAGAATAAAGAACATTCCAAATGGTCCGCTTCATTGTTCCCAATCCATAACCGTGCAAGATGGATTGGAAAAAAAGAGCACATTTACATAATTATTACTCACCTTCACACTTGAATGTTCCCGTCTGCTCATGTCTGACGGACTTCAGGTGAACGATGTGAGCGTCTGATTTTGATGTCTGCAAGAAACAGTGTAACATTATGGAAATATACATTTGCTCTTGCTCTTAAAAAAAACCAGTACATATTAAACCAATGAAAAAGTTTTGTCAATTTGAGTATTTTTTCATCGTTGAATAATCGTTATCGGTGTGTAGGAAAAGAAAGATAAGTGCATGGAAAGGAGGCTAAAATTACTAAACAGTGTACGACTTACATCAATGAGAATTCCGCTCAGGGGAAAAACTTGGATGGGTGGGACCTCTTTCGGAACCTGCACAAGAAACCATATTTGTGTCATTTTATGCTTATGTTTGGCCATCGGAAGAAGGGGAGAAGAGGACTCACATATCTGTAAAATTCCTCCCCATCCAGATACCATTTGACCGTGTAGAGCGACTCGTTGTGGTCCAGGTCGAAGAGGCAGCGGAGGGTAACATGCTCATTAATTACCACGGATCCTGGCACAATAACTTGCACGTTCTTCAGTCCTTCTGCCCCTGCAATTCCAACCAACATTCACTCATTAGGATTTATGAATTATTCGGGTGTTAATTTTCATTACTTTTCCCTAACAACTTTCTCTCTCTCTCTCGAAACGAAGCGTATGCATTCCAAAATTTACACTTTAATGAACTATTCACTCCTTGGCTTCATTTCCATACGACGACGACGAGGACGAACAAAAACAACGCGCATACTTTCCGACTCTTGTTTATTTTCTAATTATTTTTAATTTCTGCTCGAAATGAGACGAAATGTAAGCGAGACAGCAGAGTTATGAAGTATCGCGTATCGCATCGTTTTGTAAAATATCCCTGTTGCTTCCTCCTTCAAGCAGTCCTTTAGTCACAATTTGTACAAGATCCACTCCCAGTAATGAATATCAAATATCTCGACTTGACTGCGGAATGGGGTGAAAGTGAGATGATGATGAAGAGGAATGTCGGAATTATGAAAACGTTAACAGAGCTGTTGTGTAACCTACTTACATAAATAACCCGTTTTCCTTTGAAACGGTCCGCGTAAAAGTTCATTATCCGAGCAGAATATGAAGAGAAAGCATAATATTCATTCAAATTAGACTCGGTGTTTATTGGGACTCTGTCATTAGCGTGTAATCGGCTTTTGTTTTTTCAATTAGTTCAAGTACAGCTTTCCTTTTATGTAAGTGGCTGAATTCTTAAAATAATCTAAACTTGCAACATCAACATCTCGTAATGGCGTCCACTTTTTTTAAACGAAAGTGACAGCGTGCCACTAAATTCTTCAGGACACCACTTACGAGCAAGTACAATTTCAAGTGTGTACAACATACAAGAATTCAAGAATTTACGAGACCATTGGCAGTTTCATAAATAGATCTTAATTTAACTAGCACTTCGAACCAAAAAATATATGCTGCATCCAATGCATGTGTTTATACAAGTAGCGCACATGACTTATGGCTGCATATACCCAGGATGCCCAGATATAAGTATATTTGAATAGATAGAGGGCTACGTAAGAAATATGTACGGCGAAAAACCCGAAGGTGTAGTTTTCCTTGAAATTGAAAAATCTCTCTCGGCAACCAGGAGCAGAGTAAATCTGTCACGCCGGCAATTCATTTCATTTCATTGAGCGTGGTGGAAGAGAGGCCGGAGAGTAAAAGCTTATGTGGGAGAAAGGTATGGTTCAATCAAACTTATCGGTCTTCCTTCGTTCACGGCCAGAGCAGATTTAAGGCTTCACCGCAATCTCATCAGGGCAGAAAGGAATCAAACGGAAGCACTTGAGTTCATTTATTGAGCCGAGATCGTGGGGGCGGACCCGAGACCAAGTAAGCAAAAGTATCAGAAGCACACAAACGGAGAGGGAATATCGGAAAGACGTTTAGCTCCAGTCTATCAAGTGCCTAATGTCCGTTGCATCCCAAACAACGGATGAACCGTTCGTCGTCGTCGTCAGAAGAAGAAAATCCACAATTTTCATCTTTCCTCCTACATACATACACGGCGACGCTGCACGGAGGGGTTTCCGGCCTTAGGGAGACGAGAAAGAGACAATGGCAGCCATCCTTTAATCGACCATGAAACAATGTTAAATGTGCATTCGTCGACCTCCTCCCTTTGTTTCTTCAAAATTACACGCAAGCCTCAGCCCAGCACCCACCACGGCAAGGCTACCACCATTTTCCCAGTTCAATGTCACCCACCATGAAAAAGACGTCGGCCAGCAGTGCCTGTTCACTCGTATTATGCTCCAGATTGGATGTAAATGCTCCCCACGAACGAGTTTCTCGTCGTGTAAAACTTTGGAGGAGGGAAATCTATTCAGCTCCTCTTTACCATTCATTACGTCCGAGGAGAAAGGAGTCTGGCTGGAATAATTACATTATTATCAACCAACTTTGAATGAGCGTCGCATCATTACATATACGCGTACGTACGTATATCCAGCCAAAGTTGGTTCAGCAGCAACCTCGCGTATCATCAACATGGACTGGAGATGGGTTAAAAGGGGTGGAGAAGGAGGCTCTCTCTCTGTCAGTGTGGAGATATGTGGAGAAAGCGGGAGGTTGCAGGTTTGGGAGGCTCATTAATCACAAGGACAAGAACAAGTCGATACTTGGATGAGATACTTGGATCGTGTCCTTGATGCCAGGAACTGCAAAGAGACACAAACAATGCCCTTATCGGAGAAGGGTCGTCCTCTCCACGTCTCCGGTGGAACATCCGACGCCAGACGTGGGTTGTGTCCTTTTTTTACCCAGTTCTCCCCGTCCCTCTAAAAGGACAGAGTGGTGTTCCACATTGGGATCATTAGCCACCTCGTGGTGACTAATAGGAGGTGAAGACTGTTTTCTATAATGACTTAATGATGATGATATGTTCTTCTGGAGGACGGAGATGGTATTGACATGTGACATCTATAACCCACGACGACGACGACGAGGAGGACAAACGTCTTGCCTTCGCACAGAACGGGATTATAAACCGCTCCGGCACTGTGTTCCCAGATGAGGTCCATCTTTACTTGTGCAAAATATATGTACAATTCTCGTCTCAATATCCGTTATAATGTATAACCTTGTAACTTTTACCGATGATTTCGCAAGTACTACATATATATGCACTTGTAGGAAGTAGGATAATGTGTACATTTATATACATACATTGTAAAATGACTCTTGCAGAAAGAATAAATTGCCCTCTGATTTTCGCTGGGGAATAACGAATAATAGCGAATAAATGTAAATCTGCCGATTTTCCGGAAGACTGTAAGGTTTTACATTTACGAGGATATTAACCTGTTCAAAGATACTCTGACCTGACTTCACTAAGCACATCGTTCTGACACGCCTACATGTGAGGGACTTGTGTGTAAATGTACAGGTAGACATACTTTCAATGGTTGCAAATTGTGGAATAATGTTTAATTCCTTAAAAATCGATGCCCACTTCATTTCAACAAGTCCAAAATTATAAATTTGCGTGGGACGAAGTTCTTTGATTCTCTCACGAGGGAACCTCTTATAGTGCCCGGAGCTCCCAGCATAACCATTATGTACATTCGACGTAGATTTTAATACTAGTCCGATGATGTGACAAAATTTCCGTGTCAAAATGACATTTCGTCAAGTGGTGACGACTTTAGTGACGCGCCGAACGGTCACTTTCGTCCATGCTTTCAAAAGAGGAACGCTTTTCACCACTCGCTCCTCACTCATCTCACTTAAATCTCAACCGATCTACTCATTGAGTAAACTCGCATCCAATTTAATTGTGTTAACAATATAATCTTTGTTTACTATTTGTAGTCTTTTAATATTATTTTTTACCTTGAAATATTCGGAGTTTAAAAATTATAGAATGTCTATAACTGTATCAATTTGTGTGGCTGTTCTTAAAATCGCAAAGGACAGGTATTCAGGGGATTCCAACGCTTCATCAATTCCAGTTAATAAAGTTGAAATTGTCGACCGAGTTTTGCGGAAGATTTTGTCAATAATTCAAATACAGTTAAATTAGATGGGGAGTTTACTCAATGAGTAGATCGGTTGAGATTTAAGTGAGATGAGTGAGGAGCGAGTGGTGACAAGCGTTCCTCTTTTGAAAGCATGGACGAAAGTGACCGTTCGGCGCGTCACTAAAGTCGTCACCACTTGACGAAATGTCATTTTGACACGGAAATTTTGTCACATCATCGGACTAGTATTAAAATCTGCGTCGAATGTACATAGTGGTTATGCTGGGAGCTCCGGGCACTATAAGAGGTTCCCTCGTCAGACGAATATCGAATTATGTAGGTCTGTAATTTGCTACAGAATTAGCTTCAAAGAGAACAGTCATCATCAGATCACTCCATTCCTCAAATCCCCTTCTCACCCGTAAGCCACGGAACAAAGCGTTTTGTAATTTTAATTGACTTAAATACCCAGAAAATTAGTGCATTGTCTGCTCCACAACTATATACACATTGCTCGTCAGGATTCAAACTCAAATCCCCATTCATTCAACATGTGTACATTTATTTTATAAAGAAGCCTCTCGAAATTTGACCCGGTAAATTTGTGCAAAATTAATTGAATCTAAAATTATATAGGGAAAGTAAAGTGGGGAATTTAACACTTGAAATTTGACGCATGAGTACACATTTTCGCCATAAACAGAGTTATTACATGGCACCAATCCCCCAAATGTGGCCATCAGTATTCAAAACATGGTCTGAAAGTGGGACAACGGGGGAAAGTCTTTTGGTCATTTTTTGATCTCTGATAAATTAATGTTGGCCGCAATCTCCATTTGGCGAAAGTCAAGCGGGACGAGGTGTGGACGCATTGGCCCATTAGGAAGACAGAGTGGTCGATTTCTGGACAATGAGAGGAATAAAAAATGGCTGAAAAAGTGGAAAGTGACCAGTGCAGCGTGACACGGCGACGATAGGCCACACCACCCATTTATTTCACCTGTCGGGCCACGTTCCCCATAAAATGGAATGTGGCGTCGCCATCGAGACCCCATAGCGTCCCGCCGGTTGAATAACGGTCCATAGAATTTAAAATGGAGCCATTAAATTTGGACCAATTCACGCATAAGTGATTCTTTACAGTTGCTCTCTCAACTGAACCGGTTTCATCATCCTTGAAATGGTTTCCACCCAACCGGCCTGACGTAACAGGAGTCGATGCAAATATCCAGGCCGCAAAATTCTGCTGGTGTGTGTCCATCCTTTATTAACACGTCCTTTGGAATTTTGTTTGGGAGACCAAATAACTATTTATCCCCGCATGGTATCAATTTGACCGTGTGTCTGGCTTTGACATGCGACCCAAACCAACCCCTTTTCACTTTTGCCGAGTGAGAATGACAGATTTGGTCCAATTCAGGCGCAGAATGATAAAATGTGGCAGAAGTTGAGGTTGACTTTTGAGTAATTGGGGGTTGAAGTGTTGAAGTGTGGGTGGAGGTGGTTATTGACACTTTGACTAGTTGACACTACAGCCTCTCCGGAATGA